GGGGTTGCCCCCTCATGGCGGGGGCGGGAGGGGGGACTGGGAGTCGGAGCGGGGGTGTCCCGACGGGACAGCAGCCGGTCGCCGCTGCGCGGTTCCGGGATGCACCCGGGCGGCGGGGAGCGACCAAGGGTGTCCTGGCGGGAGAGCAGCCGGTGGCGGGCACGGAGCTTCCCCACACGTCCGGGAGGTGCTAGTGGCGCTGCCGACGGCGGGGAGGGACTCGCTGGCACCGCTGCGGTCCGGAGCCGCGGGGACCGCTGGAGGGGGAGGTGCGGGAGGATCTGGGCAGCCCTTGGGTTGCCTCGGGAGCAGACGAAAAGCCACTAAGTTACCCTTCTTGGGAGGCGCTGCGGGTGGGCAGGGGGCATCGTGCTGAGCCCCGTGGCTGCTCCCTGCGCGGGCTGTGGCTGTGGCTCACAGGCACTGGCAGCTCGTTCCCCGCGCAGATGCCCGCTCCCGTTCTGACGGGACAGCCCGGCGCTCCCGCTGCCAGTCCTGCGGCCGCTCCGCCATCCAGGAGGGAGGGTTTGCCCTCCCGCAGCACCAGGAGCCGCAGGGTTGAGCCCGCAAGGTTTGTCACCATGTGAGGGAAGAGCGGTTCCAGGCTCCGTGTGCAGCTCCCGGCTTATGGCACAGTCTGCACGTCGCTGCAGGAGTTAACTGGGAATCGGAGACGAACTTGAGCAGTCCGCATACCTGTCTGGGGTGCTGTTTGAATCTTACAACCTAGGGCAACTAGAATCCGCTCCGTGAAGAAAATAACAGGGATTGAGGTTGTTACTTTTATCCACAGCTTTATTAGCTTAGCATGGGTGGCAGAGCAGGAGGAGAGGCTCTCTTCTTCCCTCTTGGGATCAGGTCACCCCTCTCCCACAGATATCTGCTTGCTCTGGGAATCCACTGCACTCCTCAGCTCCATTGACTGACTGTTGCATTCAGATCCTCAATCAGTTCAGAGACCCTCAGCATATGCGTTTATACTACTTCTGTTGCTTATTTTGCTTGCTCTGTGACCCTCCCATCACAGTCCAAGCCACGTAGGTCATGGGTACTTTTCCATGTTACTTGCGGTCACTTGCGTGTACTGTCTCTGCCAGATGGTGACTTCTCAGTTCATAGTGTTCAGGCCAGCAACCTCCACAGCAACCTCCCAGTACCACATTCACTGCCATGTCACACTGATCTCCTGTCTCCTTTTTACTTGCAGTTGTTCAGCCAACACTACCTTTATTAAAAGTCTTGTTTCTCCTTCAGTACGCTTCACCTCGGTAAGAATCTTGCTAACTTAACTGTTTGAAGTGAGGTAAATTTTTCTTAATTCATTCCCTCTCTCTAATGATCACTGTTGTACAGAAACAGATCCTATTTATATTTTCCCTTGCAAAATAACATTTTAGTGACATGTACTTTGTGACTGATGGTGGACCAAACGTCTGGATTTGATATAGATTCATTCATAGTAATGAACTACTGAAGCAGAGAACAACAGGCAAACAGGTTCTTAGTTGTCCGTATGTAGAATTACTTAGAGGGCTAATTCTCAAATAAATATGCTAGCATCAGTAAGAAATACTGAAACACTGTTAGAATTGCTCAAATCCCAAGGCACCTTTTAAATTCATATAGAGCACTGAAACTATAAGTTAAGAAAATTATATGTTCAGGTAAAAAAAGAAATCCACTATTCATTTCCCTGTCACAGATCTTCTGGATTTAAGGAAGGGTCACAGACCATGTCACTGAAGGAAGGCAGGGAACAGGAAGCAGAGCATGGTGAAGGTTTTTTTTCAGGGATCCCAGTTCAGTCCTGTGGGGAGCATCTTGAATTAACATCCTGAATGATGTTTGGCTGCCGACCATAGAAAGAATAAAATAAATCAATAACTTGCAGATAACAACTCACCAACTAAGACAGATTCAAGTCACTTCCAAGTAGTGAAAAGTGCCACTACAAATTAAATGGTTTGGTTTTTTTTCTGTCAGGTCTTACTCATCTTTCATATCATGCTTGAGGTAAATACCAATACTGAAGAAATACCTAAAATTAGGTCATCCCGTGTCCTGGTCTCTGGATATCTATCTGTAATCTTGTGTACATTAGATTTAAAAGCCAAAGTAAATGTGGGGCAGAAGCAAAGCTACTGAAATGAGTTCTGCATGTCCAGAATATCCCCTTTTCTTGCTATGCTTCTACTCCATATTTCCAGATTCTTAAGACTGAAGCTTGTGGTCTTGATTAAGGTAGGGCCTAAGAAATTCTGATTAGGATACAGACTCTTGATATTAAGAGGTCTCTGGTACACAATTGGGTCTTGTTCTTGTTGGCACCTTTCCCCATTAGTTTCCCCCTTATCACTGTAAGATTCCTCCCACTGTTTTTCCATCATCTTTCTCCCACTGTTACTTCTGCAGTCAATTCCCTTCTTCTAACGTTTAGGTCTTCCCATTCCTTCTTATTAGCTTCATGACTGCTTTTAGTGCAGCAGGAGTTTTGCTCATGTGGGTAGTACCTGGCATTTTTAGGAGAGCTGTATGAGAGGTACTTAGATTTATATGTTGAGTTGCAAAGTAGTTCATGTTACATGTCCTGTTTGGAAACAAAATTGTCTTTTTTTTTTTCTCTACAAAATGGAGAGGTTAAAGAAAAATTACAAAATAAAGATGATGGCCTGAGAAGATTTAAATCATCAGTTTCTCCTCTTGTCTGCAAAGAAATTGAATACCAGTCCGAAGAAAACAAGGTGATCTTGATGACTGCATCTAGTTACATTCATCTTCAAACATGCTAGTTGGGCAAATGAGGCTAAGACAGACAATGACGCAGTCAGTAGAACAGTTTCCAAGATATGCCTTTCTGTAAAGTGACATTTTATTTAGGAAGAAGATAACTATTCTGTGATTTCAGATTTTACAAAATTACAATAATTGCTCACCCTTTTTCTGCCAAAATAGCATGAAAAAACAATTTCATATTTTTCAATATGAAAGTTCAATACAAAGCAATTCATCACCATTGTATGTTTATGACATTTTAACTGGATGTACTAAACAGTGTTCTTCAGTATTGCCTGTGAAGGAATCCTTCAGAGCACTTGTTACTTACTTCAGTCCTCAGTGCTTACTGCAAATGGAAATAATGTCGTCAGTGGAAATATATTTAGAAGAACAGGTTAAACCCCCATTTTGCCTAAGCTCATTTATGTCACAAATTAATGAATTTACAACATAATTATATTCCAATTATAGGAATATGCAACAAAAATCATACTTTTTTAATACAAGGTAGAACACAAAGAAAGACTACACAGAAAACACAAACTCTCTGGTTTCTTAAGATTTGTTTAAATTATCAAAGGGGTTGGACCTATTTTAAAAATCCTTGCTTTTTAGATTAAATCAGGTTATTATACAGGAAATATCTGCAATTTAAACACTGATTAATTTCTTTCTTCTGTACTAGAACGTGACATTCATACAACATGTGCAGCACCCATAGGGAGAGAGGGTGAAATAATTAATTTTTACTTAGTGCTGGTTTTATTTCTTGGAAGAATTATTGTCAGTTTTTGAAAATTTCTTATGTTTTTTTTCTGGGAGATGGAAAACAAAATAATTGCAACTGCATGAAAGGTTCAAACAGAACTTTGTAATACAAAACCCCACATACTAAGAAACTACATAGAGTATTAAAATAAAAGAAATTTTGGAAAGGGACAAGTGGTGAGATACACAATTGTACAAACCAACTTGTTCTATAGATTGGTCTTTGAGACAGATCAAGAACATGAATGTTCTGGCATTACAGGTTGATTTACTTTGGAAAACAGGAACTAGTAAAAAGAATTTTTTTGGCTTTTAAAGTAAAATTGCATGGAGGTTTGATAGGAAATATTATTAATGGTGATGACTAAAAGCTTTATTAGTCTTTCAGTGTAAGTGGTACTGTATCAGGGTAATAAAAAATTCTAATGGATCTTTCTCTCAACAACAACATATGCACAGTTACTGCTAGAGCAAGAAGATATAATGGTGTTGCAGAATTTCATTTGCAGTTTTTATAATTGTATGTCCATGGTAATGAGCTAAATTTTATACATTTGCTTGGTTCGTTGGTTGGGTTTCTTTAAGAACTATTCAGTGCATCAAGATATTTACTGATTACTTTCACCAAGGAACTCAGCTGACAAGAGGAAAAGTATGGAATTGTGTAACATTTAGCGAAACAACAGAATACACCGTTGAAAAAAACCCCACCACCAGCCCCTACCCCCAGTCCTTGATTTTTCCAAGCAGTTTTACTCAAACTAGGACAGAAAAGATCAAAGTGCTTATTAGCGTGCGGTTTCTGTAAGCATACAAATCTGAAAGTTTCACAAAGATCTGTAATCTTGCTAAATCAGAGACAAGCAAAAGGAATAACTTTTTTGAAGTCACTGCTTTATGAAATACCCAGAATTACTCATTTTATAACCTTTATGAACATTGTCTGATTTGCTTCCTCAGTGTTTCTGAAGCTGAAAAGAGTGACATATTAGTTACTGAAAAACCAGTAAATCATCTTCTTTAACAGAAGGCCAGTTAAAGATGTATGAAACCCTTTTTACTTTTAATTCAGCCTGTGAAACACACCGGTGCCATATCTCTGAGTTACAGGTTGGGCAACCCAGCAATACATCACATCAGCTTGATCCCTCCAGCTAACACCCTCCTTATTATATAGCAAATAGACTTCGACATGTTATAGTATCCTAAGTTCTTTAAGCAGATCTCAATGATGGCAGTTAAACCCCTTGAACTTGGTGTTTCATTCCAGCTTGTAGAGCCCATCAGCTGCTGAGATTGTTTACTATGTGTGCTAATTCAACTTCATTTGAAGTCAGGTAGTCAGAAAGAGTGGTGTCCACTGTGAGTCTCACTAAAGAGAGGTCTGATTCATGCCGAAAGTGTATGGTCCAAGACATGGTGATAAACACATCAGGGACTAGGAAGACTAGTTAGCTTAGGGAGTGGTTGCCTGAAGCACAAAGGCTGACATCAGCGGTGTCTGGAAATTGCTTTAGACTGCACATCATTGTCTGTTTGAAGGCCTTATATTGCTATGGTAACTGAAATTGAATGGGCATCTCACCTATGACTACAGCAAAGGATAGATGCATTAAAGCAGCTTGTCTCTAATTAAGGAGGGATACTTTTTTTGTTGTGGAGGTACAGCTTTTACCTGTTTGAATACTAGTCCTCATACCAAATTGAGGGTGCAAGTAATAATTTATATCATTCTGCTTTTCAAGAAAGGTCATTTTCCTGCTGAGACTGGGCTCAGTTTTGCCTTGAGGAGGGGAGGAACAGCATGTGTAACTCACCAAAAGTTGATATCTCTCAGGGAATGCACAGATCATAAGGTTTTTCCATTGTAAATCTCTCTGTACCCATTAGCGGGCAGGCATCCTGTGGGTTTGACAAACTTGACTTCTTCTTCTATGGAATTAGGGCTCATAGCAGACAAGAAATTTCCTAGAGTAGGATGTGGGAATTGTGGTGATAAGCTGCTAAGACCCCAAAATTAGATTTGGAGATCTAGATCACAGCTTGGATTAAATATCAGTTATCATTAAAAAAACCCCACCAAACAGATTTTTAATAAAACTTTTGCTTTGTCATTAAAGAAACATTTTATTCAGTAGAGTGTAAACTCACAATAAAAATAAAATAAAAAAGAAGAGAGAAGAAAGTAACAAACCTTCATTCATTCATTCCTTACACTGATTTATTAACCC